TAGTAAACCAGAGGGGTGCCTGGGTGGCTCAGTCGTTAAGCGTCTGCCTTCGGCTCAGGTCATGAGCCCAGGGTCCTGGGATTGAGCCCCACATGGGGCTCAGTGGGGAGCCTGCCTCTCCCACTCCCCCTGCTTGTGTTCCCTCTCTCACTGTGTCTCTTTCTCTGTCAAATAAATAAAATCTCTTTTAAAAAAAAGATTAGTAAACCAGAAAGAACAAGATTATAGTATGGAGAGCCAAAAGTATTAAAAATATGGAAAGGAGCAAAGGGAATATTTGGGACATGGTGAAAAGTCTAACATAAACATAATTTGAGTCCCAGAAAGGGAGGAGAGAGAAAATGGAATAGAAGTGTTATTTGAAGTAACAATGGTCAAGAGCTTTACAAAAGAGACCAATGAAAATAAGCCATAGATTCAATAAATGCACTGAATTATTAGCAGGATTTAAAACACACGCGCACACACACACACACACACAAACTAAGCATGCCACTTTCAAACGCCTAAAAAACAAAGATAAAGATGATCTTGCAAGCAGCCAGAAAGAGCAACAATCAGACAGACTGCTGATTTCTCCATTAGAATGATGGAAGTCAAAACAATAAAATTACATCTTAATGAAAGATAAGCTGACAATCTAGAATTCTGTACTCGCAAAAATATCCTTCAAACATGAAGGCAGTATAAGATACTTGCAGGAAATCAAAAACTGAGGGAGTTTGTAATAGACCTGTACTTAAAGAAACACCAGAGGGTAGAGGATCAAGATGGCGGAGTAGGAGGATCCTGAGCCCAACTCCTTCCATGGACACAGCAAGGCTGTAACAACATATAGATCAAGGGTCTCTGAGACCAACCTGAAGACTAGCACAGCAGCTCTTCCACAACCAAAGATGCAAAAAAAAAAAAAAAAAAAAGCCACACTGGGAAGGCTAGGGAGGGCAGAGATGTGGTCATCACCACTAAACCGGCCTTACGAGAAACTTTCAAGGGACTTCTTTAAGCAGAAAAGGCCATAAGTAGAAGTAAGATTATGAAAGAAAAAATTTCACTGGTAAAAGGAAACATATATAGTGAAAGTAGTGGATCAACTACTTATAAAGTTGGTATGAAGGTTAAAAGAAGTAGTAAAGTCAGTTGTATCTACAGTTAAGGGATACACAAAATAAAAGTTGTAAATTATGGTGTCAGGCATAAAATGTGGTGGGGGGAGTAAAAATGCAGTGCTTTTAGAATGTGTTCAAACTTAAGCAACCATCAATTTAAAATAGACTGCTATATACATAGAATGTGTATATATGAACCTCATGGTAACCACAGACCAAAAACCTATATATAATAGGTACACAAAAATAAAGAGAAAGGAATCCAAACATAACATTAAAGTCATATCACAAGGGAAGGAGCAAGAGAAGAAGAAAGGAATAGAGAACTATAAAAGCAATCAGAAAGCAATTAAAGAAATGGCAGTAAGTACATAGCTATCAGTAATTGCTTTAAATGTAAATGGTCTAAATGCCCCAATCAAAAGACATAGGGTGACTGAATAGATTAAAAAAAATAAATAAGACCAGGACGCCTGCCTGGCTGGCTCAGTTGGTAGAGCATGCAACTCTTGTTCCTGGGGCTGTGAGTTCAAGCCCCACATTGGGCATAGAGCTTACTTAAAAACAAAAAAACAAGACCCGTCTGTATGCTGCCTACAAGACTCGCTTCAGACCTAAAGACACATGTAGACTGAAAGTGAAGGAATGGAAAAAGACATTACATGCAAATGGAAATGGAAAGAAAGCTGGGTAGCAATACTTACATCGAACAAAACAGACTTTAAAAGAAAGACTATAACAGACAAAGAAGGGCATGGCATAATGATAAAGAGATCAACCCAGCAAGAGAATATAGCAGTTACAAATATGTGTACACCCAACATAGGAGCACCCAAATATATAAAGCAAATAGTAACAGACCCGAAGGGAGAGATTGACAGCAATACAATAATAGGAGGGGACTTTAACCCCCACTTACATCAATGGACAGATCATCCAGACAGAAAATAAGGAAACCACGGCCTTAAACAACACATCAGACCAAATGGACTTAATAGACATATAAGGAACCAAGCAGCAGAATATACATTCTTTTTAAGTGCACATGGAACTTTCTCCAGAATAGATCACATGTTAGGTTACAAAACAAGTCTCAATAAATTTAAAAGATTGAGATCCTATCAAGCATCTTTTCCAACAAACATCTGGTATGAAACTAGATATCAAGTACAAAAAAAAAAAAGGGAAAAAAAAAACCTGCAACCGTGGAGGCTAAAACAACATGCTACTATAAACAACCAATGGGTCAAGGAAGACATCAAAGAGGGAATTTAAAAATACCTTGAGAATAACAGGTGTTGGCAGGGATGTAGAGAAAAAGGAACCCTCACGCACTGTTGGTGGAAATGCAAACTGGTGCAGCCACTGTGAAAAACCGTATGGAGGTTCCTCAAAAGATTAAAAATAGAGCTACCATATGATCCAGGAATTCCACTACTGGGTATTTACCCCCCAGAACAAAAGACAATTCAAAAAGGTATATGCATCTCTATGTTTATTGGAGCATTATTTACAATAGCCAAGATACGGCAGCAACCCAAGTGTCCATCCATAGATGAATAAAGATATATACATCACCACACAATGGAATATTACTCAGTCATAAAAAAACCGAAATCTTGCCATTTGTGACAACATGGATAGACCTGGAGGGTATTATGCTAAGTGAAGTCAGTCAGACGGAGAAAGACAAATACCGTATGATTGCACCTATATGTTAAATCTAAAAGAGTTCCTCTGAGTAAGGACCAGACTTTCAAAGAGGGCAGCAGAGGTATATAGTGAAAGTACGATGGCTGAGTACTGTTTCTCAGGAAGAGGGTCTACGGGCCTAGCTGCTCCACTTACAGACTTTCAGCAACGCACCCTGTTTTCAGACCCTCCCTGAACCCTGCCCCTCCAGACGTGTCTGGCCTCTCCAATTCCTAAACATTTCTGGACTTCCTTGCTTTTTAACTCCTGGGATCATACTGCACATATAATTTTACACTCAGGTTTTTTTTTTTAACTTAATGTTTCATTAAGCAAATGTTCCTAAAATATCCCTACCAACTACCTGTAAGACACTACACGGAGAAAGTTCTAGATTCCTACCAGAGTTCAAGCCAAGGTAGTCAACATGTGTAATGCAAGTACTTATAGAACAGCAGGAAGGAAAAAACCTGTATACAAAATAAATTTTATCTTGAGACACCTACTCTCATGCTAGTGCATCTTGAATGATTTAGTTTTTATTTTTTTTAAAGATTTTATTTTTAAGTAATCTCTACATTGAACATGGAGCTCAAACATACAATCCCGTGATCAGGAGTCGCATGTTCTATGGACTGAGCCAGTCAGGCAGGAGCTCCCATCTTGGATGATTTAACTACTAAATGTAGCAGTATGAGGCCGGGAAAAATTCAGTTCTCACCATGGGAACAATTTTAAGTAGCCTCTAGTATTACTTAGGTTATTGACCCACCTGCTGTAACAATGACCTGAATTAACGATGACTAACAAGATAGTAGTTTATTTTTTTCTCTCCTCACAGTCTGAGTGTTATATGGCTCCATGTAGGATCCTTCTGTCTTGTTGCTTTGTTATTCCTAGGCTGTTTCCATTGTTTACATGATTAAAGGTGGCTTAAACTACATTTCGGCCAGTGGGAAAGGGAAGGTATGATCCAGGGAGCATACTCTTTCCTTTTAAAGGCAATTTGCACCTGTCACTTCAGCTCACAGCTCATTATCCAGAAGTTGCTGGAAGACTGGAAAACAACTTAGCTTGGTGGACATGTTCTGTGCTGTATGAGAAGCTGAGGTCAAAAGACCTTCACAAAAAATAAATAAAAATAAAATAAAATTATACTGAGTAAATACACGGAGAAAAAAGTGCTGGGTTCAAGTAGGGGACAACTAATGTTCCCTGCCATATTCTGAGTTTAGTAAACTCAAGGTTGTTGAATTTAGATTAACATTGCTGATGGTTAGGTTCTGATCTTTGTGGTAGGGCGTTCTTTTACTTGTTTATATTAAAATTACAATACATACAGAACTTAAAAATAAAGCTAGGTAAAAATCATAGTGACTTTCCCTACATAGACCTAAGAGAATAGGGAAGATTAAGCTCTTTTTATTCACTGGAATTCAGTAAAATCCTCCCCCTTTCTCCATTCTGGCCTGTGAAATCAAGCTCTTCAAGGCTTACTTTTGAAAGTAAGTTCATGCTAACTAATGAAATTCCAGAGCCAAGACTTAAAAATGTAAACATTTATAATGAACAACAACAAAAATCACAATAGGGAAGAAGGAGGTGCCATTCCACTCTGCACCTACAGAGGAGGAGATATGGTTCTGTTTCATAGAATTAGTTCAAAGAATCTGCTTTGATGAGGTGTTAAATTAAGAACATTCATAAGAACATCAACCTTGTTTTCCTGTGCGATAGGAAAACTTGTCTGAATATTCATAATCTCGCAACTTGTCTCTGCTCTTGGAAGTATAATTTTTAAAAAAAGCTCTTGCAAAACTCTTGAGCCTTGAAATTGTTACTAAATACTGCAAAGATAACCTTCAAAAAGAGTTTGTAATTCTGATTGGTTTTCCTTCTGGATAGTTTGTTGCCTTGGTAATAATTCTGTAATTTACAAGTCTGAGTTCCTAAACACCCTAAAGACTTGTAACTTTGCTCTGTCAAATCAGAAGAGAATCATTGGCACATTTTTCTTTTCCCACATGTAGAATGGAGAAAAATAAATTCCTATCACACTAGTTGATTTCTTATTTTAACAAAGAGCTTTGTGTCTAAATTCTCTTTTTCTTTGAAAATTGAATATCTAGTATCTTTATCTTTAGGAATTCATGGAATTCTTCCCAAGTTATTTCACAGTGTTTCTCTTTTCCCACACAGACTGTCCTTCATCTGCCTGGGTTCAGTTTCAAGACAGTTGTTACATTTTTCTTAAAGAAGCCGTCAAAGTAGGAAGCATAGAGGACGTCAGAAATCAGTGTACTGACCATGGTAAGCTTATTCTTTTTTTTTCCACAGTCGTAAATGGTTTTATCTAATTTCTTCAAAAAATGGTTTTGTCATATCTTTCACCTGGGTCCTTGTAATAAATGAACAATTTTTATTGTAGAATATACAAGCCACACAATGGAATTGGGTATATATTTAACCTTTGAGTTGGAAGACAGCTGTTAGACAATCCTGTCCAAAGCTACCTGACAGAAACTTAGCAACGGCACTATCTTTTTAATGTGCATACTCGGTGCCGGGCCCTGTGCTCAGGTACATCAGCTGTTTACCTGGGTTTAATTATCCTAACAGACCTATCAGGTGCTTTATCATTAGCCTCTTTTCATCAAGGGGAGAAATGAAGTTCAGTTATTTGTTCAAAGTCGTGCGGTAATAATTGGCAGAGCCAGAATTCAAACCAGGTTCGGATCTGAGTTTAGGGCCATGGTTCTTAATCACTCTGTTTTCTGCCCTTGAGAGTGCTGTTTTGGGTATGCAGTGTGGGCAGAAGTCAGATGGGACCACGAAGTGAAACTGGTAAAGAAGTGTCTGTTGGAGAAAAAGGCTATTTGCTAGCAGATACACTCTGTGTTCTCTGGAAAGTATATTTACAACTCCACATTGTGAAATATTTCAAATAAATATGTCATTTTTAAAAAAGTTTATGAGAGAGAGAGAGAACATGCACACACAAGCAGGGAGAGCGGGAGAAGCAACTCCCCGCTGAGCAGGGAGCCTGACGCGGGCTGATCCTGGGACCCGGGACCATGACCTGAGCTGAAGGCAGACGCTTAACCGACTGAGCCACCAAGGCACTCCTAAAAATGTCATTTTTAAAAAGGTGTGTCTGGGTGCTCTTTATACATTTGGCTGTTTGGCCCAAAGTGCATCCTTGTTGTTAAGCCTCTAATTGTTGTGATTCTTGTAAGTTCAAACTGAAACTAGGATGTGGAATAGCATCTCTTTCAACTGAAATATCTATGATGGTGATACGACAGTCCTTGATTTTTTAGAAGTGCTTTTTATTACTGCATGAGATCTAAAATCTCTTGATCATTTCATTAAATTTTGTCTTAGGCTTATTAATAACTCCAGAATTTAGAAATGCCCTTTACCTAAAAAAAAAAAAAACAATTTCTGACAACCAACGAATATGACATTTTGGAAGAATATCAAATCATACTTATAGAAGGAATGAACGTAAGCATAGAAGTTTTTAATCCCATTAAGTGCCACGTAGTACTCATATTGTTTCCCTTTGAGAAACTCATACCTGCCAAATGGTGTTGGATATTGCTTCTCTGAAAACAAAACAAAATTTCCAACGTACCAGTATGGCTTCATTTTAAAGGAATTGAATAATAGGAATTTTTAAAAAATATTTTTAAGTAATCTCTACACCTAACATGTGGCTTGAACTCACAAGAGATCAAAGAGCCATGTGATCTACCAACTTAACCAGCCAGGTGCTGTGAATAATAGGAATTATTTATTTTTT